AGTGAGGGCGTATCTGGATTGGAGAGGTTTGGTGGTATCCCTTTTTTGCAGCTGGGTCGAGAGAGACATGGGATAGCAGAAGCAGACAACTGCTTGTAAGCAGTAAACAGGTTCCCTTGCTCCCAGCTGGAAACATATATTCCATCCCCCCATCCCCCACCAAGTTACAAGCTCACTTTTACTTACTAGGTTACCGTTTTTTTTACAAAAGGGTATATAGAACTCAGGACCAGCCAGATGGAAGAGATGCACAAGGTTTGGGGAAAGTGTGCAGAGCTTCCAAGCTCTCTCTGAGCACCACTCTCCCTGAGTCTCCACATAGTCACGAGCCCAGAAGCTCCTTGAAACTTTGGCCTTTTGGATTTTTATGGAGGCTTGATTACACAGGCATCATTAATTAAATCATTGGCTATTGGTGAGTGGACTCGATTTCCCAGAGGTCAGAGCAGCGGGGCTAAAAGTTCCAACCCTCTAATCACAGAGGTTGGCTCCACTATCAAGCATCAAGCAGCCCCCATCCTCAGGGGCTTTCCTAAAGTCACCTCATTAACACAACAAAAGCCATCTTTATTGCTCTCACCACAGGAAATCCCAAAGGTTTTAGGAGCTCTGTGTCAAGAACAGGAACAAAGACCAAATACACATATAAATCACAAAATCTCTATCTTGTTGGAAGAATGCGCTTGAATCCTGTCTTTTCACTGCAAAAACTATAGGAACAATGTTCTGGACCTCTCTCTCCATCGGAGGCAAAGTGCCATGATAGGGTCTTCCCCAACCAGGACTAGAATACAAAAACAGCTGCTTTTCTGCCATAGCATCCAAAGTGGAAAACCTCATCAAAAGTGCAGCATTTGAGTGTCTTTGGGTTGAAGAGTGCATACAGATAACGTAGGGGGAAATGGAGAGAAGTTGCGAGTGAGAAGGGGACCCTTGAGGATCAGTTTCTTACAGCTGGGTTTCTGTGCATACAACCCTGTACAAGAGGATGGGGAGTCCCACATGCTGAGCAGACAAGAGTGGGTGGGTTCTGGCCACAGGCAAATTAAGCAACTTCCAAGGGGAGTTCCTAAAGGGCTGGGGCCGGGACAATGCAAGGAAGAAGAGCAGGAGGTCAACAGGGAGCAAAAGGGACTATTTATTGAGCACCTACTATGAGGAAGGAGGCTGAGCAGAGAGAGGAAATACACAAAATGTTAGGCTGGGGAGACATCGCTCATTATCACCAACCTCAGTAACCATTCACTGTGGACAGCCATTGTCAGGTCCTGGGGCTGCAATTATAGGAGATAGTTCTTGCCACTGGGAGCTCAGTTTACCTGCGGAGGCAAGGCCTGAAGAAATTGAGACAGGGACCGTGGGTGTAGTTAGAGTAGGGTGAGGGCCTCTGGAAAAAGCAAGGCAGGATATATGCAGTCAGAGCAATGTAACTACATGCAAGGAAACCCCCTACCAAAACTCTGTGTTAAACATTAAGCTCTAGAGTCATTCTTCAGTGAGATCAGTTAATATTCCCCAGGTAAAGAAGAGTAGCACATGTTTTTATTATGCTAATCATTTGTAAGCATGTGTAAGATTCACCTTAGCATGCTAAAAGGCCCAGGCCTATGTGCTGTCTTTCCTCCTTCAGATCTGATGAAGTGACTTTGCAAACGAGGCAAACTAATTTAGCAAGTAAGCCCATCCATAAACAACACTGTAAAAGGCAAGAAGGATCCCACCTTAAAGATAAGATTGCATTTTAATACCCAAAAAGTTAAGACATTAGAAATTATTAACTTACTCTTTAGAAAACAATACCTCAGCCCACCTTGGGGGCTAAGCAGGTGGCCTTGTTTCATATGCCCCCAGACCAAGATGCTGGTATCTCAGGGAGAAATGATCAGAGGAGGAAGTTGCTCGTGTTAATTCTAAATATTCAGGGACTACTTAATAAGTCCACACCCCTAGGCTTTTTTTCATGTTCTGGAAAATCCTCAACTGCCTATAAAACCCCTAGACAAAGCACCACCCCGGACTCTCTTGTCCCCTCCTGGCGTGAGCTGGGAGTTCTGTCCTTTCACTTTATCTCTAAATAAAGCCTGTACCTTGCTCTCCTATATTGAGTGTTTGTGAAGCTCATTCTTCGGCTTCCTGAACAAGAGCCCTGGCATCAAAATGACAAGCCACAATAGCATATGCTCTGTCAGGTGAGTGGATGCCAACCATCCACTGAGGGACGGAGGGAGGGATCACAATATCCTGGGCTGGGTGAGGCCCCAACAGAGAAACCCAGCCTCAAGCCGCAACGTGAATGCTGGGTGGGAGAGAAGAGGAGGGACACATTGGAATGGGCAAGGCACAGCAAAGAACACAGGTGGTGTATTCAAGGAACCGGGGCCAGCAGTTATTCTTTTTCTGTCGTTTTGTATTTTGAGGCCCTTTCATATACATCAGAAAATAACTCTGTTGTCCTTCACAAACCCTGAGAAGCCCTGGAACAGATGGCCTTCAGCAAACCCAAGGGAATTCAGTGAGCTCCTACTATGTGTAAATCATTGTTAAGTATTGCATGGTATGTAGAAAAGTGTAAAATACGGCCCCTGTCCTAAAGGACAGATTTTCCTTCTGTCAAGGAGATTCTGGATGACTCTGCAGCAGTGAGTGTCTATGTCTGATAAAAGGCAGTGGGGCTGTGGGCATTGCGGACCAGTCAAAGGAAAACTAGACTTGCGGTCTATCAAGATGCTCCTTTTGGGCGTAGTCCAAAGGGACTCCCAACGATGGCAGTTTTCTTCTCAGAACTGGTCCCAGGCTGTCTTGTCCTCCACGTTCTTCCCTGGGTTTTCCTTTACAAGCACAACTCATCCACAGCCTAACACCAGTTCAGAATTAGAAGCCAAGGTAATTGCAGATGTACTATAACTCATCCATGCCTGGGCCACTAACACACCAATTGATGTGCAGTCTCAGACTGCAGTTAATCCTAGAAAGAAAGGACCATCAGGACAAGAACGAAGGAACCAAAAAAAAAGACCACACACAGGGAGAACTTCTAAATTGGTCAGCCTTGAGCAAAAAGAGATCTGGAAATCTTTACTTGGCCTGAGAGAAACAAAGCAACCTATGGAGAGGTTTCAGGACCTTTCCAAGTTGCATGGGCAGACCTGCTATTTGTATGACAGAATAGGCAGATGCCTGTCAGTCACTTCTCAAAAAGTTAGTTGCAGAGATAAAGCAGAGAAGTAGCTGCTTCAGCCAGCCAGAGGGCGTGAGACTGAAGATTCTGGGTGGTCAGCACTCACTGTGGCCTATTCCACCTTCCGCTTCCTCAGATGACTGAAGGCCAAATACATGGTGAGAAGGGGACCTCTGGAGCCCAGAAGTTCTGGGCTCTTAACTTTTAGTTGGAAAACCCTTTTCAAGGCAAAAACCTACCAAAGAATGTTTGGAAGTATTCTGAAGAAATGAATGCCCCCTAACTGTGTAACACAGGAAGCGGCAGATCTCACTTCAGACAGTGAAGCATCATCCTTGCTGCGGGCTGACTCTGGAGAAAGGGCCTGTGCATCCTGGAGCCAAGCAGATTCTCCAATACCCACTAACAGCCCCCTCCCCTCCCAAGAAAGCAAAGGAACAGCCAGCACACAATCTTAAGACTTTTTATTTAAAGGAAATATCTCTGAGCCAGGCTACTGGGTAAGGAAGCAGAAAAATGCTACAGACCACTTGACAGTTTTCACTGATGGTGTTCAGTCTTGGATGTTAACAAAATGTTTTTTCACCAGTGTGTACTTCCCCACCATCATGTTTAATTCAGAAAACTCCATGTCATGAAACACCAGGCTCTGAAGTGAAGAAGTGAGCATAGCTCTTGTTGCATGAATATGCCCAGGGCAAGGGTACATGGAGCTGCCAAGATAACCCAAGTTAGGCTCCCAAAGGAAGACACCACATAAGGAATCTAGTTGAGAAAGTGGATGATTGCCCTCATGTGCAATAACTTTACAGGCAGTTCAATGTTTTAAACAGACTGGGTTGCTAAAGCTGCCAGAAGAAATTCTGGATCTAAAAGAATCTGGCAAACCTATCTGAATGAACACCAATTGTTACCTACCCTAAATGTTAAGGTGTATTTTTGAATGTTAATTTATAGATATTTGTGTGTTATGGAAAAAAGTGCCTAGTGAGCAGACAGAGTTGACCAAGGGGCAACAGAGCAGCTGACACGCAGGCTGCTGTTGTGTGTTTACCCTTAATAAAATACCTACTCCCTCTACAGTGTACAGACCTTCCTCGGATGGATGTAGTGCGAAACTATTTCCAACTCTTTCTTTAGCCTACTGAATGCTGTTTCTTCCTTTGCCCCATTATCTTTTGCATTCAAAAGCATTTGTTTGATACCTACTAAGTGCCAGGCTCAATTCTAGGTGCTGTCTACAGGTCCAAACAATGAGAGGTCACATCCTCTCACAAAGCAACATTCTGAGCAGAAACACACAATTTCAGATAAAGACGAGTGCTAGGAAGAAAATAAAGAGTGTAGCAGAATTCAGGATAGAGGGGAGGGGAAGAATCAAGCCCTACTTTAGCCAGGGGTCTGAGTGATAAACAAAGAATATGAGGGAAAAGCTCCCCAGAAGGGAACAAACACAAAGGCTCTGAAGTGGTGAAAAGCCAAACTGCCTTGCCAATGGGTTTCAGCCCCAGGCAAGTTCGCTATGGCTTCAGTGTGACCAAAGAAACTGACAGCAAAACATTCTCGGGGCGGAAGGGTTATATGCAACTTTATTTCCAGGTGGCAGGTCAGTCACTAAAATCCCATTCACTCAGAGCGAGTCTGCATGCAGCAAGCCAGTCTCTGCCTCTGGGCCCCTCTGTCCCCACAGCCGTTCCACACAGTCGTCCCCCACAGCCATCCTCTGGGCCTCTCTGCACAGTTGTTCCACAGAGCCGGCCTCTGTCCTCAGCACTGTCACCACTCCAGCCTCTGCTCTGCTCTCCTGCAGCCTCATAGCCCTGCCACCATGTTGTGCGCAGAGCACTGGGAGGAGCTCTTTATATAGTCAACAGACATTTACTGCCCACAGGTGTGCAGTGAGCTAGTCAACCAGGGCCAGGTGAGAATCCTGGCCACAGCAACTCTCATTTTATCCACACAAACAAACTAAGGGAAGGAAGGCCTGTGTGGCCAAAAATGAAAGAAAGGGAGAGAGTGGACACGGACAGGTAAGAGGGTGACAGGAGCCAGAGAACCCAGGGCACTGAACATTATGAGGACTTGAAATTTCAACCACAGTGAGAAGAGAAACCACTGGAGAGTTTTAAGCAGGAGCTAAGTCATCTTGACCGTGATACTGATTTAATGAGGACCAACTGTAGGAAGGATGCCACCCAGAGAATAATGATCAGGTTTTCTCTTTAGAAAGCAGCCTCAGGACCAGGATGAGACATGAGGCGTGTTTTTGGGTCATCTTGGGGCCAAACGTTAATGACCAGTCCTTACCATCTCCTCTAGCCCAATCCCCCAGACAATATTATAGACTTACTACATCTATACTTGGACTGCCCAGACATGGGACTCATGCCCCTCTGACAGCTGCACTAAAGTTCGTCCATATACTGAGCCAAAATCTTTGATTCCTCATGACTTTTACTGGTCTACCTCTGTATATTATTCCGGGATCTACCAACAGCTATCACACCCCAAGAACACTCTCCTCAGTACCAGCTTCCTTCAGTTACTCATCTGACTTTAACTTATTATGGAAAATTTCAGATGTTCAAAAAAGCAGAGAAAATAGTGTAACAAATCTCCATTTACCCATGACCAGCCTCAACAACAATCAACACATGACCAATTTTTTTTCCATCTTGTTTCCACTTTGATTTCCTTCACCCACTTGGCCATTAACACTTGTCTTACAGGAGTGGCCTGGCCAGCTCAGTACAAGCAGCTCCCTCCCATTTCTAATGATACAGACTAACAGTCCCTACCATTTATGATGGCCATACAGTTGCTTCATAATGTAAATTCAATCAACTCACCAGAACTTGTGCAGTAGGGTTTTTGCATCCAGGTGAGGGAATTTATGTTTGTTCTCAATGACTCTCATCAGATTCAGCCCATTTCTTCAGGCTATCATTATCTTTTTGGACCTTGACTCTCTAATATTTATTCACCTTCCCTCCCAGCTTTGTAATGACTAAAATTTTTAAGAGTAATGAAAGCCATCTCTACCCTCTCTGAGTTTAAAAAATAGAAAGAATATAAATATGGAGAAGAATGAATTAGAATAAGAATTTAGAGCCAGGAAGGATCAGAGAAAACCTTTCATTAAAACTCCTAATTCTATAGATGAGGAAGCTAATGCCCAGAGTCTGTGTGGTTGGAGGCCACGCAGTAGGCAAAGGCAGGTCAGGCTCAGGCCTCATGCTCACTGCTGTCTCCACCACCTCCACCTCTCTAAGGCCTCAGGACTGGGCACTGGATGAGAGACAATGCAGGTCATCACCAGACGCTGTTGTCTGAGGACCTCTGCAAAACTGCCAACAACAACCTACTCATTTGGCAAACAATTATCAGGTGTTGCTCTCTGCCAGGCCCCATGCCCTCAGTTACCTTCCAAGTTTCTTTCACCCTCAGAGATTAGAATGGAAATGGTTTTTCTCTGCTCTTATTTAATCAATTCCTGTAGTATGTAGGCCTAATTATGTATATAACTGAATTGGAGTTAGGAATGTCAAAATATTCATAAATAATAAAGGATTTACATATGTTAGAAATGAGAGACAGTTATTCAAAGGCCACAGTATCTTTTAGAGAAGACACTTAACAAAATATATACCTTAAAAATTCATCCCTCAAGAATGCATTTGATGATTGTTTCCATTTGAGAAGAATTTAGGTAATAATTATAAACACAACTTCACTTAATAATCTGGATAATCTGGATAATGTGCAGGAAGCATCATGATGTTTTTCTGAGATTTCTCTTTGTGGTCAACTAACCATGCACTGGGGAGTGTCCGAAGTTTCTATGCGCACAGGGGGCCTCCCAACAAAGTGGGTTTTTCTTTCCCTCAGTAAATGACATTGGTGGGGGTGGGGAGCCTGGGAACTTTACCAAGAAGCACACAATCCAGCTTCTTATCCAGTCTGCTGCCACCATCAACTGTCAAACCATTTGCTCCTCTTGGCAAGAGGTGCTCCTTTAGAAGGCCCCAATAATTTCTGCTTATATTGTTCGACCAGTTGGTTGAAGCGGATTTCTGTTTTATTTCCCTTAGCTTTTTTCCTAGATACCTACAAATGAAAGGTAAGGAAACACAAGACAATTAATTTGAAGCATTATCATCACCTTATCCTTAGGCCATCCAAAAGAGAAAATAAGTAGATATAAAGATCTTGTCCACCACAAAAAGTAGACTTTCAGAAAGTGACCCTTACAGAGGAAAACCCCCAAAGAATCATCTTTTGGTAAGAAACCAGACCAGGAATGCCTAAGAGAAGGTCCTACTAGTACACGGATCAGATGTTACAGAGGCCTCTCCCTCTCCAGCTCCGGAATGCCCACGTGAATCTCCTGATGGATAAGTCAGCTCAAAGTGGGGACTTTCTTGACTTCCCTTTCCCTCACCAAGAATACTGCTTATGGGATTTCAGAGATAGAGCCTATAAGGTAGCATATGGTATGGGTCAGACCTCCCAGAGACACAGATTTCTTGAGGATAGGAAGCTAATGTTCCTTTTACCCTTAAAAAAAAGGGACTAGGGAAGCGAAAAAGAAAGCTTGACCTCGAATGTTCAAGAACAAAGGACCGCCATTTTCTACTAAAAGGAACTAGGGCTCCTTGGAAAAATGGCTAATGCCAGGACCAGGGAAGAAATGTAAAATGAGCCAGGACATCTGGTTGTACTAGAAGGCAAGGATACTACTAAAGACGGGGGCATGTCAGAAGGACTCAGCAGCCAGCCTGAAGGGGCTTATGCTGGCCCACAAAGGGACAACAATAATAACTGTATTTGACTGAAACCATGGAGTATATGAAAACTCAGGAATTCATAATACTAAAAAAATCTTACTGGTCACCATAGGAGGTTGGTAGGACATCAACTCACTATCCTGGACTGATAAAGAAGAAAACAAACATTTGTCTGGCCTCTGCTTTACAAATGGTACTTCATGGTAACCAAAAACCAATTATTAAGAAAAGTATTTTCGAGGTAACTGGGGACATTTTAATATCTATTATGTGTTAGATAACATTAAGAACTTATTAATTTCATTAGATGTGATGGTGGCATAATGTGTGCGTGTTTTTAAGACCTGGCCAGTTGGAGATAATTTCTCAAATATTTTTCTGAGCAATACATCTCATTTTACAAATGGTACTTCATGGTAACCAAAAACCAATTATTAAGAAAAGTATTTTCGAGGTAACTGGGGACATTTTAATATCTATTATGTGTTAGATAACATTAAGAACTTATTAATTTCATTAGATGTGATGGTGGCATAATGTGTGCGTGTTTTTAAGACCTGGCCAGTTGGAGATAATTTCTCAAATATTTTTCTGAGCAATACATCTCATTCTCATATGAGGCATATTTACATGTAGAGTTGAGTTCACTTTAATACACGCTGGGGGTGGAGAAGAATGTACAATGAATAGGTAAAAGAAGGTAATTGTTGAAGCAGAATCGCTAACATATACGTTCACTTTATTGTCTCCCCTTTGAGACTCACACACCACAACACCCTCAGAAAATCTGAGCCCTGTGTGCAGCTGCAATCCAGAAGCCCCTTGTTCTTGCTCGACTGACAAAGGCACAGAAGTGGCTGCCAGCCCCAGGAGGGTTGTGCCATGCCAAAGCCTCGTGCCCTCTAGAACTCACCTGCTTGGAGGGCAGTTTTTCCTCCTCTTGCTTCCGCTGGTTTAGCTGGGCCTTTGGCTTTTTGGGAGGGAGAGACTTCACTTTGCCTTTGTCCCGCAACCTGAAATAACAGTCCAGGACAGTCGTCCTGAGCTCTTCCTCTAACTGGCACCCCTGGGGCTCTCTCAGCTTAGAAGGTCAAATCCCTCTTCTTACACTGGCTCTTTCTAAGCCCATGACAAGTCATTTTAAAAGGGATACCGCAACAGAATATCCTAAGGTTCAACATCTGTATACTTGTCTTTGTTTTAACTTAAAATCTCAAGGGAATCTCAAATACTTTCATTTATTTAACAAATATTTTGTAAAGATTGATTTCTGGTAATAACACTAATCTCTTGCCCCAAACAGAAGCCACAAGGAAACCTCAAGTAGGTGGGTCTTTACCAGTCCTGTTCCCGCTTCCATTGGGCCCACGAGTGACACCGCTGCTGGTGGAGAGATACTTGGGCATTAACCCTTCATGGGGACTTGCACAGCTCTAAGCATCCCTTTCATTCAAAAGAAGCCACAAAGAGGAAGAGGGCTAAGCAAACACCACCCTCCTTAGAAGCTACCCGCTGCTTTATGCCACCATCCTACATCTCACCTAATTTTTGGGCCTCGGTGTGAGGGGAGCACCAAGACCTTCCTTCTCTTCTTTCCATCAGGCAGCTCCACCTGTTCCACTTCAGCTTTGGTCTGGAACCCCGTCCACGAGATACAGCCCGCCTTCCCCTTCTGTTCCAGGGAGGCTTTGCTTTGTGCTTTTGTGTGGTTTTGAGCTGTTTTCCGTTGGTGGTCTTTTCTAAGCTCTGGCTGTTTCTGCTGTGGCTCACTGGCTGAGGGCTTGGATTTTACTTTTTGCTGCATAAAACAAGAAGACTGCCATCTGGTTTCTGGATGATGTTTCCTCATTGGAAACACTCAGTGGAAGAGAAGAGCTTTATGGGAGCTTGGTGAAACAAGGAGAATTCTTCTCCCAAATACTTGGAGATTATAGGAAAGTAAACACAAGTAGTTCACATAGTGATGGTTACTGGGTGGGGGACACAAAATAACCATTTCCCTTTCCACATGCAGAGATGGGGAAAAGTACATGCATGCCCAAGACTCAAGAGCCAGCAGGGGGATAAAAGGCCAGCAGCATGGGGCAGTTACTAAAGGTGTCATCCCAAATGTGTGATGGGAATACCAGAAGAAGAAGACAGTGAAAGGAAAAAATCTGAAGTAATATAGGCTGAGAATTTTCCAAACTTAATAACAAACACTAAGCCACAAATCCAGGAAGCTCAGCTAAATACCAAAAAAATCCACTGGTAGACATATCATATCAAACTGCAGAAAATCAAAGATAAAGAGAAAATCTTGAAAGAAGCCAGAGGAGGAAAAAAATTACCTTACCTAGAGAGGAACAAATATAAGATGACATTGGATTTCTCTTCAGAAACCACATAAGCAAGAATAGAGTGAAATACTTAAAGTTTTTGGAGAAAAAAAATCACCAACCCAATGCAATTATCCTTCAAAGGTGAGGGAGAAATAGACTTTCTCAAACAAAAATTAAACAAATGTGTCACTAGTGAACTGCTCTGCAAGAAATGCTAAATGCATTTCTTCAGAGAAGAAAATGACTCAGGTCAGAAACTCAAATCTAAATAAAGTGAGGAAGAGCATTTATAAAATAATAAGTCCAGTGAGAACAGAGAAGAGATGTTATGAGAAGGGAGGGATAAAGTATGTTACAGATTTATGTTGCACTAAAGTGGAGGAAGAAAAAGAAGACTCACATGAAATTAATATGGTAATAGTAAGTGCTATTTTGTCCTCTTCACCTTAAAAATCTAGTAGGTGCATCAATACAACAAAGACCTGTTACCTCCCTATTATCTGCCGATCTCTGTTCCTACATGGTAAAGGTATAGATGGCAAGGAGAAAGTGTGTACTTTTCAGGACTCACAGCCTAGTGGAGATTAAGAGATGCTTACACAAATACAGCAAAGTAAAAAACTAAAGAAGAATTTAAGGAGTTCATGAATGTGTAAGTAATGAGGTCTTGTCTCTTGAAAGAGGTGAGAAAATGCTACTTGAGGAAGTACATCTGCTCTGAATATGGGATCCTGCATAGAAGTAATCTGAGTCAGGGGATGGGGACACTTTTACACAGAAAGAACAGCACAGACAGTAAAGGCAACAAATAAAGCCATCTGAATTTTTTTTAAGCACTTAGCTTCAGAATCACCTCCGAAGCAATGGCTTAAGGAAGTACATAATTTCGTATCTAGGATAACAAAGCCATGTTGATTTGAACCATAACCGGGTCTCAGATTACCTACACTGTACAAACCACTGAAACTGTTGATCATGCTCAACACAAAAACCACAAATGTTCGGTATATATTTAGGATGCAAGTTAACGTATGATATAATGAGAGCTATAAGAGTTACGGGAACAAGAATAATCTGGACCTCCAGTCCTGGGACAGGACGCTGTCCAGGATGAGTCCTATCTGTGTGCTGACCATGCAGGATACAAGACCAACAGCATTTACCTCATTTAATCTCACCAATCATGTGACACAGGTGCTGTTAATCCCATTTTACACATTAAACTGAAGCTGAGAGTGGTAGTAATTTACCAAGGAACTCAGAAAGAGGCAGAGCCTGAGTCTGAACATGAGTATTCCTGTTCCCAAAGTCCCTGTCCTTTCCTCAATATCATACTACTTAAAAACAGTACTAAAGTGATCAGGCATCACCCTGCTGGAGCCATCTAAAAAAAAGGCATTGTAGAAGACAGAGTTGAAATCTACAGGCAATGTAAAACTTTAACCCCAGCCATTAATTTTGACATGTACCATCACCAACCCTGCTGACTGGGAGTAACATCAGCCTGATTCTTGTCTCTCCTTCCTTTCCTTTCTGTGGAGTTATCACAGGACAGCCAGCAGGGAGAAGATGGCCTGGAGAGATCTAGGGAACTAAGGGTAAAGGGTAACAAGAACCTAACGTGGTAGAGACCTACTTCAAGAGAGCAGAACCACAAACTGAACAAAAGAGGAGATTAAATATGGCCTGTAAAAAGCTGTTCTAACTGAATGTACACTTAAAAATACTAAATTTTATGTTATGTGCATTTTACCACAATTAAAAAAAAAAAACAGAAAAAACATTTCAGCTCTGTACCAGGCTGCGCTGGATCCTCAGTTCCTTTATTTTAAGTTTCCTTCGATCTTCCAATGAGAACTCCACTATTGGTCTCTGTGTCAGGAGGAGAAACAACGCCATTCATTAGGTTTCTTAATCTCTGAGTGCGATGAGCTGAGCTGTCCCCCACTACTGCCCTATTTCACAAGCCAAAGGTTGCTGCTCACTCACTCCACTTAAAGGTAAGGGGCTAGTTCTGCAAGATCAGAGTTCCTTCTAATCACTTTATCACCTGAATCACCGCTCATTCCTTCCACTAACTTGCTACACTTTCCCCCACACAAATGTCAAAGGACACTGGACATGAAGACGAGGAATGGATTTCGGCAAATGACCCTCAGAGGAACAGATATCTCCACAGGGTTAGGCTCACCTTCTGGGGCCCAAAGATTTCTGGATTGTTGTTGATGTGGCGTAGGGCTGTCAGGGCATGCTCGTGCTCCTGGAACTCAGCAAAGCCGTAGCCCAGGGACTGGCCCTTAACTTTCCCATGAACTCCTTTAAGGTCTCGCATCACTCTACACTATGGTAGAATGAGAAAGAGAATTACTAGTTACACGATGAGGAGGCTTAACAGATTCAGTAAGAATCAAGTTACTGGAAGAGAATTTTCACCTATATCACTCTCCCAGGAGTTATACTGGAATAACACTTACGAATGTCTGTCTTATTAGAACACACCTGAGAGCACAGAACAAAGTAAACAGTATTTTCTAGCTTTCTACAAGTTTATAGATCAACACAGACTTACAAATAAGCATGTAAATAAAACCAACTTCCTAGGGAAAAATCCTAATGGCTAACTGTCAACAAATGCATGGAAGGTGAGGAGTAGATGGCACTGTTGCTGCGTAAGCCGTCCCTGAGGAGGAAGTGCTAGAAATAAAGAAAGACACTGCAGTTGTCTTTCTCAGAGCTCAGATCTTCTCTGGCACACTTATTCCCTACATCCTTCAGTTAGATATAACAGGCATCCTGGAGCACCAAGGTATGGTAGGATATTTTGGGAATACTGATCACTTGCTCTTACTCCTGGAAGCTGCACTTCTCAGGTAATGGAGAAGTCTAGGCATTGGGGACACTCGGAGGCTGCACTTGGTATAAATCCAGTATCTGCTCTGTGTCTAGAACTGTGCCATAGGCTGTAGCGAAATCAAGAAAAGCATCCAATGAAGTTCCTGTCCTCAAGCTTACTATCTTGCTGAGAAACTATACTCACACATATGAAAGAACTAAAGAGAAAATTGAATATAATGCAAATATTGTAAAACATGCATAAATCTCACTAAATGAGGAAGTTCTAAGTGTGCAGACATTTACTAAATACTGTGAATGTTGACATAAGAAATTATACAACTGACCCCTATGTCAGCAACACTTGGAACAGTTTTACTTAGAGTGGTGTCAGATATGTGCTGATATGTTCCCATTGTTGAAGAGGCTTTCTGGGGTTAGGAAACCAGTTTATGGTGGTGAATTGGAGCAAGACAGATTTATAGTATTGGCTGTTACTTAGTCAATAAAAACTGACTGAGAGATTACTATGTGCCAGGCACTACACAAGGATCAGGAACAATGAAATAACACCTGCTCTGAAAGAGCTCAGCCTATTTGGGAAGACTGGCAGACAATTACAGAACAGAGTATTAGTACTCTTGACAAAGGGTGCTGTAGGGGCAGAGGAGTACAGGTTTCTGTACTCACCCAGTGTCTGACTAAGTCTTGGTGTGAAGCCAGTGTTGGTCTAATACAGCTGTTGGAGACCCCTGTGGCTCCCTATGCTCACCATGGGGCACTGAGGACTCTTATTATAGGGTAGGAGCCTAAATGGTACTAAAATAGCTCTTTAATACAGCAAAGCAGACAGATTATTTTCTCTATAAGAAAACTAAAATTAAGGCACCTGGTATAATGCTACACACAAAGCAGGCATTCAGTAAGTACTTGCTCAGTTAATTCATGAGGGCAGAGACTTTCTCACATTCTGCTGACATTTGGTCAGATGTGAAAGGCAGTTCTTAGAAGAAAAAAAAAGACCCACATGAAAACTGCCAACTCAGCCTTGTCTGCAGACAATGTGACCAAAAGAAAAATCCGTCCATCTACTAGCACCATGGCCTGAAACAAATGCTGGATCTGGCGCAGGATGGGTACCAACATTCTGAAGAGGCAAGACCAACTCTCACCTCCCTGATGCGCACGCCCTTCTCCCCTTTAGTGGCATCCAGCAGCAGCTTTCTGAGCTGTTGGTCATCCACGGCCTTTGGGAGATTGTGCAGGCAGAGCCTGGTCCGGGAAACAAAGATATTCTGGTCCTTGAGTTTCTGATGCTTCAGTAGCTCAAACTGAAAGGACAACGAATTGTTAACAATACCACCCACCCTTTAAAAATGCATGCTCAAATTCTCCAAAAGGAAAGAACCATGACTGCCATCCAATAACCACAGGTGTAGGAAGAAGGAGAGAAATCACCCCCTGCAGCCTTACAGTGCTCAGCGCAGGGAAAGAAGGGATCAAGGAGGCAAGATGGTAGGTAGGTAATGAGATTAAGGGCTCTGGAGTCAGACTGAATTAAAAATCCATCTGTAACTGGAGCAGTTATATGAAATTTTTTAAGTCTCAATTTTTCACCTACAAAGTAGAACTGTGTATCAAAATATCATACCAATCTCTGGGCACTAAATGGCCAAATTCACTGAGAGGCTGAAATGAGGTTATATACATAAAATTCTGAGCTCAAAACCTGGCCCAGAACAACAACAACAAAATACTGTAGTTAACTTCTATGCCCACTTCTTATCTACCCACCAACTCAACTAATTAACTCATTTTTCCAAAAGAAATGAGAAAATGTAATTATTCAAAGAACACTTGATAGAATGTTTCATCTCAACTCTGCCACCTTGAGGCAAAGGAATGTCCATGACCACAGAAATGACCTGCTTCCAGGGCATTGGCCTCAACTGTGCTGCACAAAACACGGGTTCCAGGGCAACCTGTCTCTAAAGTAAAAGAATGACACTCTTCTGATTTGTTTTTGTTAATTGTTAGTAGAAAAAAGTTTCTTTTTAAATTTTTTCTTTTATCAAGTCTCATTTCTGCTGCCCCTTGTTTGGTAAAGGTACTAACAAATCACAAAACACACACTCTGGAAATGAATACTAAAGAGATAGTTGAGGAGGCTATCATGCCTAAGTTCAACAGTCTATTTTTTTCTGAGGAAAAGTTGTGTCTACTGTGAATTATATGCAGATAATCCTACTGAGCTTTTTGCTAGAAAATTTGTTCTAAGGAAAAATTAAATGCGTGATTATTATACTGTGATCAGAAAAGGGCATACAATGTCCTCCCAATACCAAGATTTCCAGATGCTCACTACCACAAAAAGCTAAGAACATTAGTCTAGTTCACAGAAAAGACACACTGCCTGTTGTCATTATATTCTCATCTGTCTATCATCTTTGGCACTTTCAGATTCCATAGCTAATTCCGTTAATGGTTATACATCTTTACTCTAGGCTGGCTTAACTTTTTGAAAGAAAGTAAGCCATGTGGGCAAAAGTAAAAGTTACTGGGAATTAACATTACTGAGCAGCAAAGGAACCCAATGGTATCAGTTATGAGTGGTAACTCCCATAATATGGAGTTTTCCTAAAATGATTTTATCATCTGGAGATAAAGCCCTCGCCACCAAAAATGGACATCTTAACTCTTCCTTCCAAGACCCACATCTATCCTCCTTCTCTGCTAACTTCAGCTCATCTTCCTTTCTTATGCTATTCAGCATTTATACTGACACCAGTTACACAAAGCCCTAGCCTGTTAAGTGTCTACTCCATGACCTAGAAGTGTACTATTCAGCAAACATGTACTGCTGAGCATTAGGAAAATAGAGAATAAGACCTGGTTCTTATAACGGTAGGTAACACTGATAGAATATTATGTACAGGTTGGGCAATTTGCTGTGACACTTGTGTGCTTCTTTTTTCTCTCACAAGAGTGTAGATTAGGTTCTGTGACTGATACCTGACTTTGATGAGCACCTCTAGCATTCAATAATCATTATTTATTCATCTATAATAAGTCATGCAGAACCTGAAGGCACTTAATCTACTCACCCGTTCTCTTTTGGCCATATCAGCAGGGCTCACACCCTCTGCAGCCTTCGTCCCAGCCCGAATCACTGCAAAAAGAGGGCAAAGGGCCAAGACATCAGCAAGGGAATTTTCTCTGAGCAATAAGGAATGCGATTTGAATGATGCAATCTCTTTGTACAGGGCCCAGAGGACTGTACTGGCCAGGACATTTGGGTATTTGGGAAGGTCCAGAAATAGGCTACAGGGCTAAGTTCTCAGCTCTGAACTACTCTCAAGGACCAAAACTCTGAACATTTTGTGATTTTGTTCCTCTTCTCCCTCCTTCCCCTCAAAATCTTCATGTGTATGCCCAAAGACAAATGAAAAAGCCTAGAGAAGTTCTGAAAATAAGTATTTTTTTAGTCATTTGAATGCAAAAATGCACCACCTGTTACCTGCTCTTGGAATTTCACTGCTCCTCATGTACTTGGGGGCCAGTACTGAGCAGTCCAAGCAGCCTCCCTAGAAAGCAGCTGCACTGCCATAGAGGCCTAGTGTCAAAGGCTGATGACCGTACATTACAAGCCTTGGCTCTGCAGTCATACAGAGGTGGGCTGACAATACTGTAGGACCTAGAAGAAGGAATTCCTTTTTAAAACTAATTAAAGCTAATGTCTGGTTACCTTTCTATCATTAAGGGAAAAATACTGAGTGCACATTTTAAACCCATGAATAATCCAAAAGACTAATTTTAGCTATAATTTTCAACTCCTTTAGAAAACCTATCAGAAATGATGACAAGAAGCAAGGATAATTTGAGTTTTTCCTCCCTCTGCCCTGCTAATCCTCTGATGAAAAGGTCTAAAGGCAAGCAGGCAGAACAAAGAATAGGACTGGTTAATCCATGAATTGAGTGACGGATTCCTAACAGTAAGCCACATCTGCTCAAGGGAAAATAATAATATAACACTGTTAAAGAGGACATTTGGGTTTTTAATTTTAAACATGCGCCCAAACATACTATTGCTGGGTGACTGTCACGGCACAGGGCCAGTTGCTCAGCAGCCTGCCTCATGTCTCCTTTCCACTACTCACAGCCTTCTCGGGCCAGATAGAGGTTCCGGGTTCCAGTTGGCTTCTTCACCTTCTTTCTCCGGAGCTTTGCAGCCTCATCACGCGTCACTGCCAAGTCAACCTTAAGCTGCCGGCCATCCAGTTTAAGCCCACTACCCTGTAACAGATTGCAACCCTCTCTCAAAATACACAGTGAGTAGAAAGTAAGAACACCAGGGAAAGGGAAAACAGAAAAGTCCAGTAATGCTATGGAACCCAACCCCCAAAAATGTTTTAGCCCAGCTGGCTGCAAGTATATCACTAGCCTAACAGTTTTTAGTATATGTGCAGAAGGCCAGCCGTGTGCTTAGGGCCACCAGCAATAATTTATTTTATGGGAGTTGATTAGTCCCAAAGTAGACCCAAATGAGGAAAATGATCTGTAAACAGTCAATTTTTATTATTCTAAAGAGAGCTAACTAAATGGTAGTATTAACTCTACTTCAGAGAATTTAAGAGAAAATGGCAATATAAGATAACTTTCCTCAAGAAAACAATTTATACTTGGTTATAGAATATACAGAGAAATTCTCCATCACCCACACACTTCCTCTCTCACTTACTGCACTTCAGAGATGGCCTTAATCCCTTCTTATCCCAGTCTTTCATGCCATCAGCCTAGCATAGAAGCTGACATACAGACAGTGATCAGTAAAAATTATATAATTATACTTGTTTCTTCACCTATTAAATAGGGGTAATAATTGCATTTACCTGATATGGCCCCATAGAGTTGGTGTAAGGATTAAATAAGGTAATACATGTAAAGCTCAGTGCCTAAAACACACTCAGTGTTCAGTAACTGTTAGCTTTATTATTATATGAACAATAATAGTAATAAAGTCCTGTGTAAACATCAGATGTTGCCCCTAGGAGTAACTATCACCTTAGTTACAGGGTAAAGGAAATGTCTTCCTTACCTCAGTCTCTGGAGAAGCAGCTTCAAGGCACTTCTGAGCTGCTTCTTGAGTCATGAACTGGGCAAATGCACAACCTGCACAGAGAGACAAAATCAAGTGAGATCCCAACCTCCCATGCCCAGTCAGAAGCCCCAGACAACATTACCAATGGTGGCAGCCAGACACAAAGGGCAAGGAGTAGTAGAATCCTTTTGTCAGGCATATGAGACCGGCACTGAAGATTCAAAGATGGGTAAGATAGCTCACCTGTCAGCAATGAGATTTTATTATTACTTCCTTCATCTTTCCCAAGCCTTCTTAGAATTATAATTTCCCCATTTTTCTCCTAAGAAATATCTACAAGAAATGGCAGAGAAATTCCAGCCTACCACTTCATTCAGGATCACTTACTGCTTGACTATCAGAGGACTGAAAAATGAGGTGGGAACCACTTAACCCTGAAATTAATTATAGATCTCACTATCATCACAGTCACTTGGGAGACAAGAGCAGAGCTGCCTCTTGGAATAAAAGTCCCTGGCCTCTACCACCTGAATATAGCAGTGAATCAGAAAGCCATGAACCTAATTCACGACTCAGACTCCAGAATTTCCACAGGTACACCTTTCACTGATTAGGTGCAGGGCCAATCAAGCCATCCTAAGTTCTGCTATTGATAAAAAGCAGCTTCTATAAGCAAACAAAAAAGGTCACCTTATAGTAGACTCCAAAAGAGAATCCAAGTTTCATAATATTTTGTTGTACTTTTTGAACCTTAAGAAGTTCTCTCATAAATGAAAACAATGTCATTTCATACAGTTACTGGGGCACTAATTGATCTTTTGTCCCCTGTAAGAATGAATGGCAGCACACAAGAGGACACATGTGGCAGGCCAACCCACGGGGCCCCATCTAGTGAGGTCTTCCCTGCCTCTGCCAGGCAGAGTCAAGTGCACCACCCCGCTGGTGCCCCACCCACATGTCTATGACAGCACTGGTCAAGTGGCATTTTCCCAAACAAAATGAATGCGTCAGCAATAGGGGCCATGTTTCTTGGCTGTTTCTATATTGCTAGAACCTACCACAGTGTCTGGCATTAATAGATATCAGTAGGAAGAAACAAGTAAGAAAGAAGGAAATATGAGAAAAAATGTGTCCAATAGGCAGATTGGCCTATTTGTCCAATATGAAGAAAAAGGGTACTTATTTCTGAATAGGTGAGAATTTTATCACTGGAATTTCCAGGGCCAGTATTGGGTTCAGTCTTAACACTTCCCTAAAATCTGCAAATAATAATATTTAGCTCTTCCATGCAGTGAAATGGCAAGCTGACGGGGATAAAACTGTAGGAGGTGGCCAAGGCTATGTGAGTAGGCAGAGAAAGTGTCATAAAAATTTAATATGAGCACAGAAAGACAATGCATTAAAAAAACAATGAAAACTATGCTTATTAAAATCATCAACTCTCAGCTAAGATTTCAATAGAACAAAGAAAGAGACTGACCAAGCCGATTATTGACAATGTTCTGAAAATACCAACCCCATATACTACACCTCATCCAAAAAAGGACAACAGACAGCATCAGAGTAGAGTGCTATACCACAGTACTGGGAACATTTATGCAATTCTAGCTGCTCATTTTTAGAAAAGCATACTGGAAATGGAGATGATCCAAGTATATGAAATATATCAGAGCTGAAGGCACCTTAAGTGATTACTCTAGTTGAACCCTCTGATTTTACAGATAAGAAACTGAAGCCCACCATAATTAAATGATTTACCAAAACCACCCAGCTGGTCTATGGCTTAGCAAGGATTAGATCACTAATCTCCAGGAAGCAGTTCAGTTTCCTTTCCATCATATTACCTTATTTACATCTTTTTTAGCTGAGTAAAAACCAAAAATGCTCAGGTCTCATGCATTTGGAAAGTAAGGTGTAGGATGGAGGTTCTTAATCCATGGGCAGCTCCAGAGAGCCCACAAACCCTCAGAAGCAGCAATTTCTGGAGAGAGAGCTTTTGCTAGATGTTAAAGGAATCAAGAATCAGAATGACTAAGAACTCGCTGCTTTAGAAGAACACCTGCAGTTGATGAAACAAAGAGTAGAATGGATTGAAGTGATGCTTACCTAACAACAGTATGCTAACATAGGGAGTGGAGCTCCTGAGGCTCAAAAGTAGTGACTTTAGGAAAGGAACTACCTAAGGCAGCACCCCTGCTCCATGCAGTTTTCCTTCTGACAGCTGCCACTGCATCAGTTTCCCTGAGCGCTTCCATCCCTAACAAAAGCAACTGAAAAATATCCCAGTAATTTCAAGCAATGTGGAATGATTAATACCCATGAGATGCTATCACATCTGAAATTCAAAAGAGAACAACAAATGGAATTCATTAACCTAATGTAAATAAGCAAGGGTTTAAAAAGCTTAGACAAAATTACGGCTGGCAGCACCATTAAAGATGCTGAGTTTGACATCATGAAAAACAACCTCAGAATGTCCTTGGTGCTTCTGTAGACCACAGAAACCTGGGCTGCAAGGGCTGTGATCCCTCAGAACAGCACATGTCATGTTCTCATGTAACCTAGTCAGCGCCCATGGCAGTGGTCTCAACCCTCTCTGTGCCTGACAGCTGACAAGCAAATACCTTTAGAATGTTCTGTGTCTGGATGCAAAACAATGCGGACATATTTAAGGTCTCCAAACTGCTGGAGGAGCTCCCCAAGTTCTTCTTCCTCCGAGTCAAAAGACAGGTTTCTATAAAACACAATCAGGTCACAAGAAAGGTCAATTACAAAAGTGAGATCCTGTGTTCTGCTATGAGGTGACTAAGGCACGTCCTGGAGTAGTTCCCTTGCTCATGACCATCCCTCCTTGTTCAGGAATAGCAGCAATACACAGGGAAGACCCCCAGTGGGCAGGCCTCTGATGTACCACTCTGCCCATTGGCCATAACTGACTGACTTCCCTATGTCAATCAGATTCTCTCTCCCATTTAAAACCTGAACAGACATACACAAAGACAAGATGTTGTAGGTGTAGATTCTCTTGTTAATTTAAACATAAATTACTTATATAATAAAAACGGTAATGCCCTCCCCAAGGGCAATTTCTGGGGAGCTGAAAGTTGAAGATATTCTATATCTTGGTCTGGGTGGTGTTACATGGATATATATGTAAGATGTATAAAGAGTGTTCTTATACATCCTTTCATATATATATATGAAAAATTTCACTGAGCTGTACACTTAGATTTATGCACTTTCCAGAATATATGTTATACCTTAAGAGGGAGGGAAAAAAATGATTTTGCCTCAGAGAAAAGACCCACAGCCTCCTGCAGCTGAGGTCCCAGACTGCCCAGGTTTTCATCCCCTTCTTCAGGTTTGCTCTGTGACAGCTGATTCTGTGAGCCACCCCAATGTTCATCCAACAGACCTGCCTGTTCACTTCAACTGGCCAAAACTGGTCTCTCTTACTACAACCAGAAGACCCACAGCAGGCTATTAAAAGACAAGTGTGTGTTATTACTTATTTTCTCCTCTGCACTTCAATAAAACCCAGGTTTCAGTTACAATTTTACATAATGCAAAAGCAAACATGGTAAAGTTTACTAGCTAAGTATAAAAGAAGAAAAGTACTTCTGTCTCTCGATGGGAATAAAAATATTAGAAGGAGATTTTGTTATTCTAGATTTCAACACAGTGTAAAAAGTCCTAATTTTCCCTGCTATGCACATTCTTCCAGGGTTTAAAAAAAAATCCAAAATAAATATTTACAAGTTTACCTCTCTTATACTCAATTAACAACCCCATAAATAATTCTGTCTTACAGAGTAATCGAGATAAAAACAATGTCCTGCAATAAGACATAACCTAGCTTCATATTTCTTCCAATTTGCCTCATCATGTACATAGTTCTCTTTCATCCCCTTACTTTCCTAAGTTTATTAATTAAAAGATGTATAAGGAGTGTACTTATTACATCCTTACTGGTATGTATATACATATACATAAAGATATGTGTATCCTTAGTATTGAAATCACAGATTTCTAAGTGTGATGTTTTTTCCTTCCTATTAGACAGAATCTTCTATGAATACAAAATTTTTATATAGCAATTCCAAACACCACATTAAAAAAATTATGGAGAGGCATGCTATTAAGGAAGAAAATGGGCTACAACACTGCACATAAAGGCTAAACTCGTCTTTGTAAAATATAGGATGTGGGAGTGTGTGTGGGTATTCTCTGAGTAGTGATTAAGGTTATATTAGTGTCATTTTGCTCATTTATTTCCTAAATTTCCTACAATAAACATAAATTACTTATATAATAAAAATAATCTTAAAAGATTATACAAGGGGATAAAACATACATCATTAAAATAAGACCCGAATGGCCCTAGCCATTGGTACTTAAGATGAGAAGGTATGCTTAAGGTGTACTAAAGATATACTGATATTTGTAAAATGTTCATCTACTGCAGTTGGTAGGACGAAAACACAAAATGGCTACATGAAATAAGACCTATCTCCACCTGACTCCCTCCCTCTGTTTTTCTGGAAACAGATGGGATGCCTTACTTTTTTCTGGCCACTACTTTAGAAGATAAGTTAGGCATGAAGAAAGAAATCATTTGGGACAGGGGACATCACCCCTTCCCGGCAAAGCCCCTAAACAAAGGCTAGAAGCAAGAGGTTTCCCACAGCTGAAGAACTGATTTGTTCCAAGTGATGCCACCCCAATTACAAAGAACAAAATCTAGATGAGGACAATATAAGAAGAGCCCTGCTATTTATCTTCTGTGTATAATTTTATTTTTCTACATTTCTCATTGTTTGCTATGTTCCTAGGTCCAGATGTGCTAACAGTCTGAGAGGCTTCTAACTTTCTGGCCTAGGAGAGTGAAGAAGTGAAGTGAAGTGAAGTGAAATGAAGAACTTATGAAGGCAACACAAGCAGCAGTTCTCGAGATAAAAAGATGTACCTGATAAAAACAGTTTTCCCTTCATTCACATCAGAGGGTAATTTCCTCTTCTTTTTCTTTGAGACTTGTACATCTGAAGTAAAAAGAAAAATTACGAACTGAAAAAGCCTACTGCAAGCCATATGACAAAGGGCTAACATCTTAAATACATAAATTCTTGCATAAACCAGTAAGAAAAAAGTCCAATTAAAGATGAACAAAGGACATACAACTAAATACATAAAAAGATGCTCAAACTTACTCATAAGTAAGGAAAAACATAACACAAGAAGGTACTATTTTTCATTCCAACAGATTGGCAAAAAAATATATATATATATATATATATGAAATCCAATGTGGTAAAGGGTGTGAGGAAAAAAAGACATTCCCATATATTGTGTGTCAGTGTAAACATTTTGGAAATATAAAGCATGTAGAACATTTGAGGAGAAAAAAAAACCACATTCACATTATATATATATATATATATATATGAAATCCAATGTGGTAAAGGGTGTGAGGAAAAAAAGACATTCCCATATATTGTGTGTCAGTGTAAACATTTTGGAAATATAAAGCATGTAGAACATTTGAGGAGAAAAAAAAACCACATTCACATATTCAAACATATATATTGGGGGGGTGTATATTTATATGCATGTTTTTGCTTATAAAAGTATTAAATATCTTCAGATACACAAGAAACATATAACATTGGTTGTCTCTGGAGAAGGGCCCTAAGGCTAAGCATCTGGGTATAAGGCAGAGTCCCTGTTTTTAAGGATAGAGATACATGCTTATGCATTCATAGAAAATTTCTGGATGGCAACAAAAGAAACAACAATGGTTACTCTGGGAGACTCTTTGGGGGACTGGTGAAAAACTTTTACTCTGCACTGCATTTTTTATTCCTCTCATTATCATGTATTAGTTCTATAATTTTCTCAAATGAAAGAATAATAAGAGAGCTGAATTTGGTTGTAGAATACATATTATAGTCCCTTGAGCCTAAGTTTCTTTGATTCTAAGGTGTGCACCATTCTCTCCTCATGGAAAAAGCTTATTCCTTAGGGTTTTTTATGGTCAAACTAACATTCCACACTTACAGCAAAGGAAACAGGAAGGAGTGACCTAATAAGTGAATAGAAACCTCCATCCAAACTAAAGAACAGTTATTGGCCATTCCTCATTTTGTGATGACCTGCTGCCCTCAATAAACAAGGTAGCAATAGGGTTTGGTTACAGTTCTACGAATGTCTCGAGGTCCTTTATCCCCATCTCAACCCAAAAGAGTTAAAATCCACCTTGTATAGGGTGCAATACCCTATTTATACATTTATTCATTCAACGTGGATAATCAAGACAGAAGATAGGTTTTAAATTCCCTAAGAAAGAATCTTGTCTTTCAAATATCATTCCAAACACATTAAAAAATACAACAAAAACAAAAATTTTGACAAGGAATATAGTGTTCATTTTCAGCATTTAAACATACATTTGACAGAAGACCTTAGGATCCTATTAAAAAGAGGCCTGAGCTTAAATGATGCACATTTCTCAGTAACTTATTTTAAATGTAAGGGTGTCTGCAATGATCCCAGGCAAACCTTCAGTCCCCTGCCCTGCAGTGTTGGTGTCATGCTGAGCCAGTTCCTCTCCACTGTCAGTGCTCTCTCTCTCCTCCAGGTCACTGTCCCCGTCAGAAGTGTCCTCTTCACTGCTTTCTGCTGGCGCTGCCCTCTCGGCTGCTCTGCAATGGCAGAGTTCGGACTGAAGATCTGGGCTGACAGAGGGGCCCATCCGACTTCACTACACCAGTCAGTCCCACAATGATGGGGGCAGGGAAAGACATATGTTTGCCTCTTAGAGACAATGGTGAATCTTGCCCTGTTGTCTCAAAATAAGCTGAGCGGCTCACCTCTTCTGAATGCACACAGGCTTGGTCACCTCTGGCTCTTTATTCTCCTCCTCCTCTTCATCACCTTTCTCCTCTGCTCCTACATCCTCCTCCTCCTCCTCCTTAACCTCTTCTTCCCTGCCACTCTCTTTACTTAACTGATGTTTAGCTTTAGGCTTCTTCTCCTCACCTATAAGGGATGTAAAGAAAGTTAGGAATTCATTTAGTATTCAAAGCAAGGTTATGTTAACAAGAGTAACTAATACTCGAAGTTCCTAGTTTCTTTGGACTAGAAAAATATATGAGATATACAAATATGTATCTCATATATTTTTTCTTACTGTATTTTTCTCACATATTTTTCTTAGTTCACAGAGTAAAAGAAAGTATGGGGTGGGGGGGGGAACAAAACCAACAGCAACAAAACCCCTCACCACCAAGCCTCCCTTAGAGGCATCCTGCTCATTAGAAGCCTGATCTCACTCAGAACGAGAGGAGTGGCAACTGAGCCCCGCCAACAGCCTGCCATCACGTACCACAGCCAGCACAGTCTTGCTCTAGGGCTCAGCCGTGAACTTCAATCCCAGTGAGTTCTGTTGTCTCAAATCCTGATGGTTTAAAGCCAGCTAATAAGCCAGTTTTATTTTCTAAATAAACCTCAAGTTGTAAGTTTCCCTATTCTTACTATCCCATCATTCCCTATTATGAAAAGCTAGGAAAGGACAGCAAGTAGAGAACAATGAACTCAGGCCCCCTCCCCACTCACATCCACATCCAGTGGGCTTAGACTCAAAAGGATCTGATGTTTTGGGACCAGATCACCAGAAGGTAGGATATGAATTGATGAATAGCTCTGGGCTCACTTCTGAGCCAGCAGGAATTCAGTCTCTCTTACTCCCCAGTCTCACTTAAGGTATCTGCAGCCTGACAAGTCTCACTGACAAGCAGGTTCCCTTACACTTTTACCATAGGTGGAGCTGTTCTCATACTTACCGAAGAACATACAACCCCTCCTACTCAACACCACCACAGCTTACCTGGCACAGAGGCAGACTGTGTACTTTTATATTTATCCTTTGCCACGGCCCAATCCACAGCCACTGTTCGCCCTATCAGACAGAAAAGGAGCATCAGAAAGGCCTTCCTCTTCTCATCATCTCCTGTAAATGACTTCCTTTTCATCAAAGGCAGTAAACCAACCAAGAGACAAAGTGTCGATTCAGAGAAAGTTGGTCCTAAAATAAGGTTCCTAGTAGCTGCCTACTCTTTTTAGCCTTTAACGTTTTTATCAATGAACAGAAATTTTGCCTTTCTATGCAGCTACCACATCTGGGATAAGATAGGCTTAAAAAAAAAAAAGAATTAGAATGGTGTTTCCAGTTAGACCAACAGTTTACTGGAATAACCTGCACTGAGAAGTCAGGCAGTCTCTAAGCCCATCACTTCTTTAATGCCTGGTATATCAATACCCAGAGTAGCTTCAGTCGGTTTAACAGCCCATGGGTGCCAGTGATCATAACCAAGAGGGAGGAAGCTGCAAACTGCACACCCCAATGGCAACCTGCATCCACCAGTGACTGCTTCAAGGACATCTTCTCATTAGGGATTTAAAAGGACACTTATCATCAAATAAAGAGGATAATGGCATAGGTTCTTTCACATTTAACCCTAAGATCAATACTAGGAATATGTCACCAAGCAGTTTCTGTGTTAGCAATGAGCCCTTCAACAATGAGAACACCCTTTGAAAATGCAGAAAGTAGGTTACTGTGCTAATTTGCCCGAACAGCAGAAGTAACTGGGTCAGGGATACGGTTATAGAAAACTTACCTTTTATCTCTTTCATGTTCGTGCTTTTGAGAGCTTTTCCTGCTTCTAGGAGGTTTTTGAACTGAACAAAAGCAAAACCACGCATCTTTCCATCTGTGTGCAAATGCACAAAGAAGTTAGAGGCAGTAGAAGGGAAGCCAACAGACACTAATTACAGCAACCTTGGCTGACAAGATGGTCCAAGTCCTACCAGCCAGCCAGTACCTTGCCCATAGTAATAGCTTGTGTCCTCCTGCTGAGTACACTCTGACTCGGGCTTGGAGAGAGCAGTGCATTTCCTCAAACTGTAACTTGTCTTCTAAAACTAGTTCTGATCTAAAAATACCATCAAGGGAATAAGCACTATTATTTTTCTTACCTGTCAAGCACAGTGCCTGATACTTTATGTATAACATATCATCTGAGGCTCACAAAGAGTATGACATTAACCTTGTATTTACATTTCAAATGGTGCTTAGTTCAAGGGTGATATGGAAAAGATAATTATGGTAAATAATCTTAATCTAATTCACACCAAGTGAAGGTTTGCTAGTACCTGGCTTCCGAGGTATGTTTACTTCCAGGACAGCTCCATATTGAGCAAATGTTGTCTTCAAATCATCTTCTGAACACTGAAGCCAAGAGTGAAGAAAGAAAAAGAGGTTTTATCGTAACAAATAAACATTAAACATCAAATATTGAATTAATTCATTAGAAAGAGCTTCAACATTTTTACTCCTTCTTATACTTTTGAGACTAGGACACCAAACATTTCTGAATAGAAGACATCTTGTTTTGTATCTAAGAAACAAAAAGGACAGATATCAGCGAGCTGTTCCACCACTCCCTTTCCCTGTAGTAGTTTACCCAAAAGGAAGGCATCTTCACACTTACTTTCTTTACTATGTTCTTGTTAATATGGGCCCATTTTCCAAACTCAACAAGGCTAAGGTTCATTCCCAGCAGGAATTACATCCAGTAACATCATTCTAGTGAGGAGTTCTGCGAAAGAGCACCAACTGGCAGTGTTAAGTTTTCTCTGTCACTTACCTTAAAGCTCAGGTTCCGTATAATTAACCGGGCTTTCTTATCTGCCACTTTGCCTTTTTTAGGCTTCAGCTCCTTCTTTGGGGGTTCTGAATTTTCTAAAAATTAAGAGGCAATAGAATAAGTCTGTGCTCCAAAACCCTACCTTTATGCCCAGAATATTACAGGAAAGAAACTACTACAATTGACGGCATTTACCACAGGGTGAGGTATGCCAACACCAGCACCAGATTTTCCAGACTTAGAAATAAACAAAAGACTAAAATGAGTATCAAGATATATCAGATCATTTTAGAAATCCAAAAGAAATTCAGGAAGCTTTAAAGTTCGACACTACCCCGCCACTACTCAGTCTCCTTACCCTGGTGGGGAAACTCTCTTCAGTTACTAGAAACTCACCATTTCCCCCCTTTTCCTTGAACTTGTTCCTCAGTTTTTTCTTGGCAACAGTCACGTTGATCTTGCAGCCTTCAAAGGTGGTAATCTCCGTGAGGGCCCTCTGGGCATCTTCCAGCATAGAGAACGTGACATAGCCAAAGCCTCGACAGGCCTTACTGCCTAAACAGTAGAGGGCAGGGGGAGAGAACGGTAAGCCAGGAGCCCTAAACCAGTAAATCCTCAGAGCCCAAAACTAGCAGATATGTTGCCAAGAAATCCTGTTAAGTTATCGTCCTAAATCCAAAATTCTCAGGAAGGACAGAAACAAGGTTGGCATCAGTGTCCCCTTCCCCACTTTGATCAGAAATTGTTAGGCTTCCTCTTCTAATTTCTGCCTTTGCTGTTAGCTCCTCTTTTTCGTTCTTTCCTGATAATCTCGGGTATATGGAGAATCCATGATATCTTTTACACCCACAAAGAAGAACTCAAAATCAAACAGAAGGTAGGAAAGATAAGTTTGGTAGCTTCAAAAATTATAGTAATGTGGATCCTCCTCACAGCAGCTCGGCAATGAGTGCCTGACACCCTGACAAAAGAGCCACAAACACTAAACACTGCTTTGGGAGCCTCCAGATACTATTATCATTATTACCAAGCCTGAGTGATCAATATCAAATCAAACCTTTCCCAAGCAGCTGTAAATCTCTTATCTTACTTTATCTTCAGAATACCTAAGGTAGGTAAAGCGAATATTATCATCTTCTTTCCAAATTAATAATTTGAGATGGAGGAAAGTGATGAACTGGTTAATGCCCAGGGTGTTAGAAGCTGAATCAATTCCTCATTACCAGCCCCATGCTCTTTCCATGGGGCTCCACCAATGTAATGACCATAGAAAATATTAGTACCAAGCAGACAAATGGTTACAAATAAAAACTGTAACATACCTTTGCCCCTTTTGGTATGCTTTTTAAAATTTAACATTTTTGTGTAGCAAAAGTTTAAGTAATTTACTGCATCAAAAAGAAAAAAGGAAAAAGACCAAGTAGCCTGTTTACTATCCAAAGAAGAAACACAGCTCGTGCACTCTGCTTCTTTTTCAACTACACTTGAACCTGCGTCAGGGTTCAAGCCCTCAAACAAGACGCCAATCCACATAAACTGGGTAAAGTTGACACCTGGCACCAGGAAAGCATACTCTGATCTGGAGATCGGTTTCTCTGAATGCCTCACAAAAGCCTGCCTATTCACCTTTCAACAAATTAGTACAGGAAAAATCGAGGCCCTTCCTGATCAGTACAACCAAAACCAATGCCGGTGAAACGTGAAGGAGTTCAGTGTTGAGATAAAAGCATGTATGCTCAATAAATACCACACATCATTTGCACAAAGTATTCACACAGTTCCTTGAATCTTCACAACCCTGTGCAATTATCCCCATCTTAAACAAGTTAAGTGGCATGCCCAAGTCAACAGAACTGAGTAAGACCTCATCCTATACCCTCTCCCTTTCATCCCACTAAGCACAACACTCTTCCCAATACATTTTGGTTATACAGACAGAACAGGGGAGTAATTGTTGGATTTTTTTTAAGGGAATAAGAGCTTTTTAAAAAGATTTAGACCACTTACACAAGGTACGAGGTAAAGTTACACACAGACTGTATTCTGAGGACCCAAAGGAGAATTCCCACTCAATGGCTTGTTCACTGGAACACAACTGTATAGCATTTCGTGTTTCTCAAATTGTTTTAACAACCCACAGTAATGGATATAACTTATAGTGGAACCCATTACACATATATATTCTTTATTAAAAAACAAAAAAAGTTTTACAAATGTTTATTCTTTACCATTTTCTATTTCTATTCTATTTCATTTAAAAAAAAACCCTAGTCACAACCCACTCAAGACCTACTGATGGACTATGATCTGCACCACTACATAACACTCTCATTCTCTCATTCACCCACAGCTATACTTAAAATGACAAAGAACCAGGCAGGTTCCATGGCTTATGTAGCAATCAGAGACATGTCAACAATCCTAAGTCTAACCTCTGTTACTTACAAAATAGAAGCTAAGAATGGAGTGATTATTAGCACACTGCTAGGCTGCCTACTCACATACTCAGATACCATGGGAGGAAAGAGGAGTCGACCAATGGCAGCTTGCACCAGTTGTTCTGCTGAAAGGCACAGGCAGTCACCTACAGAGACAGTCTAATGACTTAGAAGGACATTAAATGTATGTTCTGGGTAACATCAGGTGTCTCTCTCAAGTATCCCTTGAAAACTAGGTAAGAGAAAGGACTGTTTCTACATTGAAACCCTTACAGTACTTCCTTATTTTAATATACACTGACCCTCTCTCATAGTGATGTGATGGGCACAAAAGAGAATGTGAATCACATAGCAGATCCACAAGTCAGTGAATATCCCCAGTGGCTCAAGCCAAAAACCCTTGGAGTCAAACTTGACTCCTGACCCCTCTTTTTCTCATACCTCACATATGATCCATCAACAAACCCTCTCAACTCTGCCTTCAAAAATATCCATATTCCAGTCACATTTTACCAACTCCACTGCTACCATCCTGGTCCAACACCTATACCAGCCTACTAACTGGTCTCCCTGCTTCTGTCCTATTCTCAACATGGCAGACTGACAGATTCTTACAGAATGTAAGCCTGATCATACTTACTGCTCCCTGCTCAAAACTAGCATAGTTTCCTATCTCAGGGTAAAAGCCAAAGTCCTTCCAATGGCCTATAAGGTCCTATACAATTAGGTACCCTAGAGCTCATCTCTGAATTCTCTTCCCTGCACTCACGTCACTCCAGTCACCCTGGTCTCCTTGCTACTCCCCCAATATGCCAAGCACAAGCCTCATCAGCATCCTTGAACTTGCTTTTTCCGCTGCCTAGTCTGCTCCTCCCCGAGAGACCCATGTTCACTCTCTCACCTCAGTCAGGCCTTCCTTCCCCAGCTATTCTGTAACTGCCGCTCTTCACCCCTCTATACCCTCCCTCACCCCTGACTCCCTATCCTTCTTCCCTGACTTATTTTTCTCCTTAGCATTTCACCACCATTATACTATATATTTTGATTATTTGTTTACTGGCCACCTTCCCCATCTTGAAGACAAAAGAGCAAGGTTTTTGGTTTGGTTTTGTGCACTGATGTATCCCCAGGACCTACAACAATGCCTGGCACATAGCAGGCATTCAACAAATATTTACTGAGTAAGTAAGTGAGTGAATAACATATTGGTTAAGAGCTCCGGGTCTGGTGATCAAATTCTGGGTCCACTACTTACTGGCTGTACCAACTTTAGCTAAAGTTACAAATTTCCCTAAGCCCCCGATTCCTTGTCTATAAAATGGGGTTAAGATTCTCCACCCAACAGCATTGTTGAGAAAACTAAATGAGGTAATACGTGTGCAACTCCGCACTCTACCTGGCAATCAGTTGACTCTCAGTAAGTTTTACTGATGTTTCATTAAAAGTTTGCTATTTTCATTGTTACCAAATAAGATCTTATACGGGAGGGCGCATAACAAACGGGAAGCGCTATATAAAGTTAAGGTAATGCTTGGACCCTCAGAAATGGGCCTCTAAGAACTCATCTAGAGCAGAGTCAGTGTGGAAAAGAAATTCAACTCCCAGTCCCTTCTCTTAGGGGCGGGTAAAGAATTATATAGATCGCTCAATTTTAGGAGGGCGTCCTCACCCCCAACCTCCTCCCAAGAGCCCCAGCCCAATCCTCCTCCGCACCGCCCCCTACCTTTCTCAGTCACCACGAAGCACTGCTTCACCGGCCCCACCTGACTGAACAGCTCCTCCAGCCGCTCACTGCGGGCCGAGGGCGGGAGGCGGCCCACAAACAGGGTCAGTCCGGCCATAAGGCCGGGAAACCGAAGTGCGTGAAGTTGCAAGCAAACCCAGTGGCCGCACGCGAGCCACAGACCTAGTTTAGAAATAGCACCACGCCAAGTACCCGGGAGATTCCGGAAGTGCTCGCCACTCAAAAGGGTCCGAAGTGAAACGTGCTGCTAAGAAGAAAAGACATTCCGGAATGAAAAAAATGGTACCGCCCAAGGGCGGAGCTTCTTGGGCGGGGTTCCACCTCTTAGTTCAAAAGCCCTGCTCCGGCCACACTAGGGGAATCAGGCATCGCCAGTTACCCTTTCTTATAATCTCACCCAAATTTACCAGGGCAGGCAGGAGAAGTCTTTTTTGCTCGGGGCCTAACTCAGGATCTGACATATAATGTATGTTTAATAAGCACTTTCTTTAGTGCCAGCACAGACTCCCAGAATAGGAGGACAAAAATGCAGCCACAAGGCACAGAAACACAAGCACATCACACACATCATTCGAACAATTCTTATATTCTCAGAGATTATGAGACATGTGTCCCACTAAAGCAGATAACTCAACTGTGCCTATTCGCAATATAGCTGCTAAAGTACGTACAGGCACAGATCACACACAATTATTCTTTCAATAAATATTTATCCGTTCCTACTAGGTGCCAGACACTAGGGATAAAATTGGTGAGCTAAATAAAGACAGGGCACCAGGATTCCTGGAGAATATAGTCTAGAGAGGATAGACAGAAACTAATAAAAAAACTTGCAAATGTATCACAGCATGCACATGAAATATCATGTGAAGACACACCCAAAGCAAATGTAACATCAAGCTTATACACACAGACCTAGTACCCAGATCCTCCTAGAGACAGGAAAAGGTCTTCCCTCAGGTCAACTTATCAGACAGACCCAAAGCTGAGAGATCTCACTGGCCAGGAGGAGATCTGGGTGCTCCTGGATCCTGAGACACAGAGAGTATTTGCCACCCCACTGGGCTCAGGAATTGACCTTTGTGAAAGACTGAAGCACCCTGCAGAATATCCATCTGAAAAAAGTGCCTAACACATTTTTAAATTAATTTTTTTATTAAGGTATCATTGATATACAATCTTATGAAGGTTTCCTAACACGTTTTTTAACAATTACTTTTAAATGGTATAACCTGCCATGGCAGGTAGAAAATTCAAAAAGGACAAAAGGTACAGTGAAAAGTAAGTTTCCCTTTCTCCTCAAACCCCATTTTCTATACATTTTGGATGGATGGATGACTAGTAGATTGTAATGCGGGTGCAGGACACTTAATCAAATTTATGAAGCCCTGGCTCCAAGAAATATATGCTTAAAAGAACATGTCACAGTTATTTTTAATCATATAACTCAGGAAAGGAAGTGCTGAAATACAAAACATATTTTTAAGGCTATGGGGTTAATCCTATCCAGGATAAAGAGAGACAAAGCTAAAAGGAAATGGGATGGGTCATTCTAATAATGTTGGCTTGGGATTCCACATTCCTCCCTCTTTTTCCTCTTCCTCTCCTGCCCTCTCACAGCCTTCGAAATTGAAATTCCATCACTAAAGACTAAACTGCAAGCTACAGAGCCCTAGCTGTGGGGCGGTCCTCCTGTTCCTGGCTGCAGTGTGCACAGGACAAAGAAGCCTAAGAAGGCTGTTCCACCGTCCCTTTGGGACACCCCCTACAATAAGTTTTAAGTACTTTGGACCCAAATCTTCTTCAAAGGACAAAACGAAACTGTGTTCTAGTGCCCATCAGGGGGCAGCAACCATCCACAGTGTGGAGTTCTATGCCCCTAGAGGAGGGTAACAATGCAGCGGGCTCTTTCTACACTTTCCAAGTTTCAGACTTGGCTCCCCAACTCCGTCTCCCAGCCCTGGCCTCAAACCTACCCCCTCCTATCCATTCACATTAGGGAGGCCACGTGGTTCTTCCATCCGGATTATTTGCTCATCCATCTACCCAGAACACATGCAGGGTTCTTTATTAAACAGCAGGAATCATACCCTGCACCACACCAGCAACGTGGCTTCCAGGGGAAATAAACTGCTGGTCTCTCCCTCATCCATCACTGTGCAGGAGCCCAGAAAGGAAGGAAGAGTGATCCAGGCTGTGTTCAGCCAGCCTCTCCCAAGCCTCATTCCTCTGGCTCCACTCCACCCTGCAAGTCAGACCTTCTTGTAATAGCACATACTTCTTGTTCTTAGCACTTTTCACAGCTGTAATTAGCTATTTGCACTTACTGTAATTATTTACATGATTAGCTCTTTAATGTCTCCTTTCCCCAGAAGACCTTGAACTTTGTAAGTTCAAGGCTGGTGTCCACTTCATTCACCCACCTCTAGCACGTAGTGCATTGTAAGCATTCAGTAAAATTCATTCATTAAGGAGACTGAATGAATGATGGTGAGTTTGTTCCTCAGTCCCCTACAGTAGGAAGAATTGGAACTGAAAAGTGTATTAGGATCTACCTGGGCTTCTCTGGGAGACCTGCTCTGGGTAAGGGCTGAGGCATGAGACAAAAGGGAAAGTTTATCTCACCAAAGTCCTGGCCTACTTATGAAGTCAAAAGGCTGAGGTAATTCTTGTGAAGGAAAATCAAAGTGTTGGAGCTGGTGAACACCAAGCTATATTCCCCTGCCACACTCCCCATCTCACCCACCCAATTCAAAGCTTCCAGACAAAGTGTTTGTGTGTGTGTGTGTGTGTGTGTGTGTGTGTGAGAGAGAGAGAGAGAGAGAGAGAGAGAGAGCTGGAGGGAGGGAGAGGGAGAGACACACTGCTTTGTCAGGAGATGTGAACATGAACCCCTTAGTGGGGAGAGTGAATGACTGACTGAGAGCAGCTGGCAAGGATTAGGGTGAGGAAGAGATGGCAGAGAGGAGTTGAGAGTGAGCAGAGGCAGATGGAAGGGAATAGGGAGGAGAGGGAGTGATTTCTCTGAGAGGCAAGCACTCCCTCTGTGACACAGAGCAGCTCCAGTGCTGGGCCCGCCACAGGCACTAGGACACCAGTGAGAAATGCCTGTAATTAGGAGGCTGGCAGTTCTCTGGGCCTCAGCCCAGGGTGACAATGCAGTAAGAATCTGTGAGCCAGGCTGAGCCAGGTGATGGAGGAGACAGTCAGAACCACTCCAGTCCCATCTCTCAGCTGTGCCTGACCCAACCTCCTCTGCTTCTCTTCACTACTAGGACCCTCACTCTCCTCCAAATGTCACTGACCCCCCTCCTCTTTCTAAGGTCCCAGGCCCTGGACAGTCCTCTCATTCAGGACAGATCATAGTGTGCAGGGAGAGCAGTGCTTTAATTCTTCCACTAGTGTGTTGGACATGGTCTGGTGAGGATCCCACCCTCTCGCTGCCTCCCTGCTTGCTTCCCCGTCAGCTTGCTCACCTCCCTTCTCACATCCGAAGAGCTGATAGGCAGAGTTGGAAGGAGAACTACTTCTATTACTGTTTTTCCTCTTCAAGCCTAGTATATATGCCCCTGTCAGTCTCCCTGGGATGTGCAGCACATCTGCCACAACACTGCCAGATTCTCATTTTCAAACTTCATCTAAGCGCCACTCTGAACTTAGCATGTTTTAGCCAAATGACAAATGCACACTACAGAACTCAGAGCCAAATGCTCTGGACAAGGCAGGGATTACAGAGCGCCTGCTGGCTGGGTGTATTCATGGTTGTGCACTGTGAGTTCTGCTTCAGTAGGTGCTGGGGCTGGGGTTGGGGAAGACAGGCTTTCTTCAGGAAGGATCTGCACCTCTGGGAGATGAGTGTTCCCCAAGGGAAAGGGGGTGGTGAATTCAACCTTGAAGAGACCCTGTTTGTAGGTGGCAGTTTCCTCTGTGCATCAGAAAGGCCTCTGTGAATTCCTCTGGGAATGTGGCAGGGAGATTGCTAGGGATCCCGCTCAAGGTAATTAAGCCCTTGACATGTGTTCCATGAAAGACTTTAGCACTAACCAGGCCCTAGCCATCTGTCCCCTAGGACCTGAAGTCAGACTTCTAGGAATGCAGACATTTCCACCAGTGACTGTAGAGTTTCTGCCTCATCTTTCAGCATCCGGGTCCATCTCCAAAAAGCCACCTCCCAGAGAGTCAGAAGGGTGTTCAAGGGGCCACTCTGAGGACCCTCACTCATCCCAAGCACAGGACAAGACTTCTTACAGTCAGGAGTGAAGGTCACTGAGATTTGGGATGGACCCACGCCATCCACAGGCTGCTTCTCCTCCATTTCTGACAGAACCACGGCTCCATTGCCTCCTGAGCTTTTCCAAGAAGGCAGACCCTTCTCCTCTGAAAATATTTTATTGATAAATTAAATCTGAAAGTGTTTACTTCCCACCTAACTGCTAGAGGGTCTCCTAGACGGGCCATGGACCTCTCTCTGGGGAAGGATTATGCGGAGAACAGGGAGTCTCACTCACGCAGGGATGGGATTCCTGGGCATGGCAGAGGCATGGGGACTGAGGCTGATCCCAAGGTCTTCTGAGGACAGTCCCTCTTACTCAGCACCAGAGTGGGGAGTGGCGGTCAGGAGTGGAGCACCTTGGAGCTTTATTGCTGGTGAATGCCAAGGAAAGTGGGACCCTTGTCAGCCTAGAACTGCAGCTGAGGGCATCAGCACCCAGGGCTCCAAAGAAGGTGGCACTAATCCCCAATCAACAGACCCTGGCTACTGACCCACCCACCCAGGGACCCCTGGATGGGGAAGGAAGCAGGGAGAGGTATCTGAGCCAGGCAGGATTGGGGAAGGGTTACAGTGTGCAGGTCTCAGGCAGAGCAGGCGCCAGAAGGGGGCATATGGGCAGGGCAGCGAGGGTGCCGCCTCAGTCACAGGTCTATGGTGTCGCTGCCCACACTCAGCTCGTCGATCTGTCGGCAGGCGTCCAGGAATTGCTCCTGTAGCGAGGCCTCTTCGGCCTGCAGCTCAGGAGCAGGCTCTGGGGAGTCGCGGGAGGGTGGGGACAGGGCCTGGTAGGAGCTTGAGGCCGGGAGGCTTGGGCTGCTTCCTGAGGGCCCGGGGGGACTAAGGACGCAGACCAGAGGACAACGTGGGGGCCTCTCCGGGCTGGAGCACAGCAGCATGGACGAGCTGTCCCGGGAGAGTCCACAGAGCGAGCTGGACGAGGCGCTGCTGCCCGCAGGCCAGACCCCGGGAGAGGGGAGCTCTGGGGGTGCGGGGAAGCCAGGGGCCTCCTCAGACCTCCCATTGGGCCGGGACCCCGTCTCCACCCCCAGAGGGGATGTGCCGTAGAGGCTGAGCCCAGGCAGGGCTTCCCCGAACGCGGGGCCCTGGAAGAGGCCGGGCGCGAGCAGGGCCTCGCTGCAGAGGGCTTCCTCTATGCTGCGCCTTAGGTTGATTGGGGAGGGCGGGCGGAAGTCCACGGTATAATCGCTGCAGGGGGAGGAGGCCGGGGAAGGGACCGAGTTGGCCGCCGCGCCTTCGAAGCCCCGGCAGCCGCCTCCCTGGAGTAGGAGATCGGGGCCTGGCCCTGCCAGGGCGCACAGCTGCAGTAGCTCCGCGTCGCCACGCGCGATGGCTGCACCCAGGGGCTCCTTGTCCGAGGGCCCGGGGGCCCAGCCTCCGGGCAGCAGTGGAGCCGCGTGGCCAGGCGACAAGCGGAAGAGCTTGGCCCAGCAGCGCGGCGGCACACGGGGACTGCAGAGCGCCGGGTAGAGGCCCAGCAGTGCCAACGGGAGCGCGACGCCCACCTCGCCCAGGCGCAGGCCTAGCTGGAAGGCCCACCAGGGCCAGGGCCCTTCTAGGCCGGGCTGGCCGCCATAGCCCAGGGCGTGTAGCACCTCGTAGCCCTGCAGGGCTCCGCTCAGCAGCCCAAAGGTGCCCGCCACGGGTGCAGTGCGCGCCGCGCGCCGCCAAGACTCCCGCGGGGCAAAGGGGCTGCGCGCCTGCGGGAGAGGAGTGGCGCCCTTGAAGCCAGACCCTCCCAGGGGCACTCCAGCCCGCCGCCGCCGACCCCCCCAGCAGGAGAGCGCCAGCAGGAGACCGGACAGGAGGGTGGCGAGGAAGGCGTGCAGCCCTCGGGAGGCGAGCCTCAGGAGCCGCAGCGGGCGGTGGGCCGCGCTCCCGAGGGCGGCGGCGGCAGCCAGCCCCAGCCCCAGGAGCAGCAGCGCGGCCAGCCCGGCGGGACACCGCTGCGGGCGCGGCCGGGCCAGCAGCAGGCAGGCCAGTCCCAGGCCAGCGGCCAGGCAGGGCAGCGGAAGGTCCTGAAGCAGCAGCCAGACTAGCACGGGCAGCCGGTCGCGGTGCCCATAGGCGTCGTAGAAGAGCGGGAAGGCCCGCGTGGTCCCTGCAGAGAACAGGAGCAGGTCCAGCAGCGCCAGGCAGGGGGCACCGGGTGGGCAGCGCCAGGGCAAGAGGGCCAGAGCCAACAGCGCCAGCAGGGCCACCAGACCGAAGAGCGTGCCTACCCCGTACACATGGGCCTCCCAGGCCAGCCCCCAGTGAGCCCTGGCCTCTGCCCAGTCGGCCTCTAGGGTCAGGAAGAAGAGGGGCAGCGGGGCCACAGGAGGCTGCCCCTCACGTTCAGGCAACTCTCCGATGCTGCAGGACCCTGGCCCACACTCTGGTTGCACCGAAGGGTTCCCAATACTGGCAGGAGAGGGGTCATCTGGAACAGAGGTGGGAATGCTGGGGTGGTCTGTGGGCAAAGAACATTTGTCGGAGGCAATTGTGCAACCTCTCTACTCACCCCCACCCACCACAGCCAGTAGCCTGTATGCCAGTGTCCTTAGCATCCAGGACACACCTGTCTTAAATATGGACTCACGCAACCTCTCAGTCCCTCACTTTCCCATCCCCCATTAAACTCCTTACACAGTAGTTTTGCTTTCATCCCATCATCCATCCCATCCCACCCCCAGCTCCCTGCTTTGTTCATTTCCCTTCATAACTATGTGATTCCACTAAAAAGGGTTTTTCTTACAACATCACAGAATTTTACAACTGGAAGGAACTGTACAAGCCCCCTCTAGTTCAATCCTCCCACCAGAGAGGAAGCCTCATAAAAACAAGGATATCTGTTTGCTTTGCTCCCATCTGAATCCCCAAGCCTAAAATGGTGCCTGGTAGAGAGTTGGCACACGGCAGATACTAGTAGAATAAATGGATCCTCTTATTTGCCATAAGAAGATAGGAACTTCCACTAGAATCCAGATCTGAGCACTAGATCTGGAATCAGAGCTCCTTTCCACAATTCTAGAGCCTCTTCATAATACTAGTTTGCTTATCTCTCATTCTGTACTCCTGATCCCCAACTTCCACTTTGGTGCTGGGAGAAGCTTCCCTTGCCCTTTTTCAACACACACACACACACACACACACA